GCTTCTTGGTGTTTTCGAAGTGTCTGTGAAGAAGATTTAGATAAAGTTTTGAACAACTAGTAGATTTACACTAAAACAATTAGATTATTCGCTCTCGAACTCTATGCGTGATGGAAATCTCGAGCTCATAATCTAATTGTTTAATTATTAAATTGAGTCTGGAAATTTGAATTGTACAGTAGCTACACCAAACAAGTTACCAGTTTCCCCAACAAAGTACGAACACGTTTGTTAGATGGTTTGACAAGGTGGCCGAAGTACAGTATCAGCTGAAACGTGCACGAAAAAGTGATGTATTTGTTAGCTTTTATTTCAGTTGTGGTTAGTGTTTTCAGGACATGTTTATTTTCTCGTCAGATATTCTCCTCTGCACAACATTAAGATTCCTGAAAACGGCGCTCAATACCCCTCACTACTACTGTTGACCGCTGACCATGATGACCGTGTAGTTCCGCTACATTCTCTGAAATACATTGCACAGTTGCAGCATTGTGTGGGCAGTTATGAAAAACAGGTGCGGTTATTTATTAATTGATTGATCGATCGATCGATCGATCAATTTATTAACTACAGTAGAAGAGTAAATTCTCAAAGTTCGAAGCTCTAGCGGAAACGAGAAACAGTCAACTGAGTTTTTCTGATACATACATACCGTATTTTCTCTACAAAAAGCCCTCCGTCGTTTGTTTCAAACTTGTGTTTGCTGACTGGGCTTTTACTTCAATTTTAAAGATTATTCGAGCCTGGAGTTTATTTGAGTTTTTATTGATTATTTTTGAGAGCTAAATATCTTATTATTGTACCTAAAGTTTATTATACCTCAAATATACATTCATTGCTCAAGGGTATAGGTACCATAGGATAATGAGTTAAACAAGACCTAAGAAAACTACCTTTGTTTCGATTTTCTGTTTTAGGACCTCCCTGAAAACCACTTTTTAGTGATCGGAGCATGCTCATAAAAGATTTCGTGTTGTCGCTCTTATTTGTGAATAGGATGCTTGTTTAGTCTTTTAATTGTTATTCACATATCTTGGTTAATTTAAATGAAGACTATTCACCTGTCTAAAGGCCTATAAATTTCTAGTTTCAACTCATGGTGTAATGAACTGATCTCGCTTCCTTGCAGACAAACCCACTGTTAATCAGAGTTGACACAGAAGCTGGACACGGATTCGGAAAGCCTACAGCCAAGATTGTAAGTTTTCAAAGTGACACACATATATATATATTTTAAGAAAGACCTACTGACCGAATATGAGGTATCGAATCAAACTGATGAATGTTGAAGTTTGACCAGTGTCCTCTCACCACCCCACCCTGGTGAAAATGATACAAAAAGCAGCAAATTGTCGCGGAACAATGCAAGGCGTGAAATTGCCATCGACTAGTAGCATGGTGTATTCACTCTTGTTAGGTGGACAATAACAAAAAAAAGGTATTCAGTTTTGATCGAATTCCTCCGAGAATAATGTGAGCCTGCAGTTTTAGTAAGACAAGTTGAAGTTGCGAAGCAATGTTACATCTCCACTAGTTGCATGGCNTAACAAAAAAAAGGTATTCAGTTTTGATCGAATTCCTCCGAGAATAATGTGAGCCTGCAGTTTTAGTAAGACAAGTTGAAGTTGCGAAGCAATGTTACATCTCCACTAGTTGCATGGCGTATTCACTTCTGTTAGGCGGAAAATTAGAAAGAAATATCTTTTTCCGTCCAATTCTTTCCTTCGGCATTGCCGTGCAATGTTTTAATTAACGATAAATTGCCAATCAATGAATTAATTTTCTTAGTTATATAATAAGCTGCTGAATTATTCATTTGTGTTTGTTTGTTTGTTTGCTTTGTTCAGATTGAAGAATACTCCGACATCTACGCCTTCATCGCACGCAATCTTAACCTCCAGTGGCATGACTGACAACACGACAACATGATCTCGAGAGGAGTAATGTTCATTTGAACAAAGAGAGTTTCAACAAACTGTATCATGAAAACCAAATAACTATCCTATTTATTAATGCTTTTGTTTATTTTTGTCATCTTGCAAAGATTTTGTATTTTTGTTTTGATATAATCTTGGAGTAATACTCACAAATTAAATATCTCTTACGACTTTATCTCGTTGCTCGTAATGCTTGCTAGTAAGTAATATGTTGCATAGCAATTTGAGTGTAATCTCTCAGTTTCCTTACGAGCAAGCCTCTTATCAGTGTGGCAAAGTCAAGTTAAATACCGTGGTACATTTTCGGATTCTATTTTTGACTTTTCGGGTGATTTTGCCGATTTTGGCTTATTTGAGAGTGGTAAAAAAGAACAAATTATATGGCTTTGTACTATAGAATTTTTTTTAATTTTGTCTTCCTCGTTTCCTTGGTGCCGTTCCCTTTCGTTGGCGAACAGAGCGCGCACTGCTTCAGGGTCAAAGATGTCAGATTGTAGCAGGCCCACAACAACACGCGCACCGCGATCTGACTTAGGAGAGGCTAGGAGAGGGGACGCCTGGACGAGACAAGAGGACTTTCTAAATACGCTTAAATTAATGACTTCCAGAAGGCAGCATGAATCGGAAAAAGAACAACAAAAAGATAGAAAGAAAGGAACAGAAAGGCTAGAAAATGGGAAAATGCTAAGGGCCGATTTACACGATACGACTTTGTCGCATGCGACAAGTTTACGACAGGCCTACGACATGAATTGTTTCGTGTAAATCAAACCTGCAACTCGCTTACAGCTGTTGTGTGCGTCAAAAAAACTGCCGTAGGATTTTGAAACATGTTTTAAAACGCTGCGACTATCGTAGCCGAAATCGATAGAAAATGACGTATTTTGTGACAAATTTCTACTCAGTAGGGGACGAAGGAGAGGTTTTCTTCCGCGAAAATGGCGGACGAAGTTGTTGTTGACTGATTCACATGAAGTCGTTTCTCGAAAAGTACGGAACGGATTAAAGCGAAAAACATCTCGTTAGAAAGGTTTTTCAAAGCGCAGGACAGCTAAAATATCTAACTGGTTAAGTAACATCCTTACTAACTAACTACTGATGTTAGCCCAGTTGGTATAGGGGCGCTCAGGATCGAAAACCTTATCTTTATAAAAAATAGTACATAATCTCTTAAAAGAAGAAACACTAGAGTTGGCAGTCCTCAATTAATCGGGCAAATTGTTCCATAAATACGGAATCCTGTTAAAAAAGTTCCCTTCGACTAGTTGCATGGTGGATCAGATGCATTGCGTGCGATGAAGGCATAAATGTCGGAGTATTCATCAATCTGGACAAAGCAAACAGACAAACAAACAAACAAACAAACGCAAATGAGTTATTCAGCAGCTTATTATACAACTAAGAAAATTAGTTCATTGTGATTGGCAATTTATCGTTAATTGAAAAGTTGCACGGCAATACCGAAGGAAAGAATTCCACGGAAAAAGATATTTCTTTCTAATTTTCCGCCTAACAGAAATGAATACACCATGCACCTAGTCGAGGGAACTTCAATACATCTACATTTAACTTGCATGTTGTTTTCAATCTTCCTAATATTAAACAAGCTTTATCTCAAACAGCAGTACTGCTATTTTTAAAAACAAATTCCAAAAGGAAAACTAATTAACAGTCGTTGTCACTTTATATTTTGCCCAGTCATTTCGATTACCAACGCTTTGCCAGAGCAATAAGCACCAAACGCAGTTGCCAACACTCCCATTACGACAATTGTACCATCTGCAGCTACCTGAAGCGGTTTCAANGGGGGGGGTGGGGGGGTGGGTACGGCTACACGTAGGCTACATGGTGGTGCATTGCGTGCGATGAAGGTATAGATGTCGGAGTATTCTTCAATCTGGACAAAGCAAACAAACAGACAAGCACAAATGAATAATTCAGCAGCTTATTATATAACTAAGAAAATTAGTTCATTGTGATTGGCAATTTATCGTTAATTGAAAAGTTGCACGGCAATGCCGAAGGAAAGAATTCGACGGAAAAAGATATTTCTTTCTAATTTTCCGCCTAACAAGAGTGAGTACACCATGCAACTAGTTGAGGGAACTTCAATACATCTACATTTAACTTGCATGTTGTTTTCAATCTTCCTAATATTAAACAATAAGCTTTATCTCAAACAGCAATACTGCTATTTTGAAAAAACAAATTCCAAAAGGAAAACTAATTAACAGTCGTTGTCACTTTGTATTTTGCCCAGTCATTTCGATTACCAACGCTTTGCCAGAGCAATAAGCACCAAATGCAGTTGCCAACACTCCCATTACGACAATTGTACCATCTGCAGCTACCTGAAGCGGTTTCAACTCGCGCCATTTTAACTTTAAGTGAACTAAACACGGCACAATATACTCTAAGAATGGTAGAGCGAGGCTTCCGACAAACGCTGTCAAAAGCGCGAAGTGTGGAACTACAACTGCCAAAAAGAGGGTGGTAAATACAACAAGGAATCTTGTTGTAGCAGACCAAATGAAAAAGGGAATACGAGAGGTGACTGCAGAAGCAAGTCGAGAACCATCAAGAGACTGAAAAACAGGGAAGATGACCAGTGTATAGCTGAATATGACATACATGACGTATACAACACTGACGATGGTTCGAGGGGCGCCAAGCGGGAAATTGTTTCCAATCACTTCATCAGTGGCATGGGAGAAGGAGAGAAAGCCACAGAGCGAAAATAGAACTTTGAATATGGCGGCCAACGACAAGGAAATCCCCAAGGCTGAACCGAATTTGGAAGGATCCGCCATACTTTCTTCGACTGGAATCAAAATTGAGTACACGCAGTAGCTGGATATGACCAAGCCAAGCGCGACAAAGGCGCCTTCGGTGTCCCAGAAGAGCACATCCGTTAAGTTTATGGTCGAGTAGTGGGTAACTGTGTACCATATCAGCACGCTTACCATAGTGATCAAGGACGTTATACTCAACAAGCTTTGCCATGCGACGCACGCCAGGTCATTTACAAACGTGGACGGCAAAACCAAAGCAGCAACAATGGACGCCCACATAGCTTCTGTGAGCCCTGCTTTAGGAAGTGAATGTGCCAGGAGGGATCCACATGAAATAAGGTATGACACACCGAGAATCGACAGATCAAGGCTCTGAAAAGCATCGAGAATCACCCCGCCATACCTCGGCCAAAGAACTTTACCAAGCTCGCTGTAATTGTCACGAACTCGTGATCTCATCT